TGGCAGGTCAAGTCTGCAGAGACCTATGATTGCAACACCACACTCCAGCCTGACTGACAGAGCAAGACACTATCTCAAATAAAAAATAAATAAATAAAAATAAATAAACCTAAAAAATGTTTTTAAAACTAAAATACAAGCCCCCTTAGAGCAAGAACCTTATCTTTCTTGTTCAGTGATGTATCTCCAGAGGCTAATACAATGTCTAGCACACCATATTTACTGAAAGAATAATTCACAAACATTTCTAATACCAAAGTAACAAGCACTATGCTAGGTAACAATTTTTTTTTAATTAAAGAAAAACAGAAAGCAAAATATTGGTATGAAAAGCAATTTGATGTTATTTTTATGTTGATCACGCCCATCCTTAAATGTCCTTACACAATAAATTGCTCTTCTCAAGGTATTTTGCCAGTGTAAAATATGAAAATCCTGATAGTTGTAATAATAATGAATAACACATTACTGCTTAAAAATTGGCTGGGTGTGGTGGCTCATGCCAGTAATCCCAGCACTTTGGGAGGCCGAGACAGGCAGATCCTTTGAAGTCAGGAGTTAGACACCAACCTGGTCAACATGGCGAAACCTTGTCTCTACAAAAATACAAAGCATTAAGTCAGCTGTGGTGGTTTATGCCACCAATCCCAGCTACTTGGGAGGCTAAGGCAGGAGAATTGCTTGAACCCGGGAGGCAGAGGTTGCAGTGAGCCAAGATTGCACCACTGCACTCCAGCCTGGGCAACAGAGTGAGACTCTGTTTCAAAAAAAAAAAAAAAAGTTACTGATTAAAAAGTGTCTGATGATCACATTCTTCATCTTCCTAATGCAAAATTTATGAAAACTAATTAGGCTATAACTCAGGAAAATACTATCCAGAAAACTTTATGTACTCATCATCTTTTCAAAGTGTGTAAATACACATTTCATCCAGGCAGAAAAAGCTTAACTCTCTAAACCCTTTCTGTTCACACATATAAATATTACAACATGACAAAAGAGATTATCAACTCACCATTTATTGCTTAATTTACCAGCTTCACTCAAGCCAGGAAGTGATCAATTCCAATTATTAATCAAGTTCATTTCACAGAAGTCATCACTAAAGTTAAGAATTGCCCCTTATCCCCCAATACCTATTATGAAGGAACATGCCCAGTTGGGTTTAGGCTAGTGTTATGTTTCATTGTTACCACAGTACTCTTAGAAGTGCATCTAATTCAGAATCACAGCAGAAAACAATATTATCTGTTGCAACCATACCAGTTATTACCACTATCATTATGACATCACTAAACACCTTATGGTAAGCATCAACTAAAAGGTAAATGTAAGCTCAAGGCAATGAACAAATGACATTTTTTTCAACTCAAGTGTTTCCTGTAACATTTTATTTTAGCACACCATAAAAGTATAATACTCTACCTCAAAACATTTTAAGAGTTTTTGTTTCATTTTTGTTTGCTGAAACAGTCTCACTGTTGCCCAGGCTGGAGTGCAGTGGTGTGATCTCAGCTCACTGCAACCTCTGCCTCCCAGGTTCAAGCAATTCTCCTGCCTTCAACCTCCTGGAGTAGCTGGGATTACAGGCACATACCACCACACCCAGCTAATTTTTGAGTTTTTAGTAGAGACAGGGTTTCACCTTGTTGGCCAGGCTAGTCTTGAACTCCTGACCTCAAGCAATCCATGCCCAACTCGGCCTCCCAAAGCTCTGGGATTATAGGCATGAGCCACCACACCCAGCCTATGTTACTATTTTTTTTTAAATATTATTTATGAAAAGGAACATACTTAGCACACTAGGTATTAATAAGTACTCCAAGTATCCCTATTTCATGCTAGCTTTCAAAAGCTTATAGGAAATATGTCTATCCTTCATCCAACTTGAAACCAGTATACATTCTGAATAGGGTAATCTGAAATGCAATCGACCAAATGCATTAAAAAAAACCAATTGTACTGCTTTAAATTAGCCTTCTAACCACACTTGCCAATACAAAAAAAGAGAGACTTTTATTTGAGCTTTCTAAGGAAACATAATACTCATTTTGGCTGGGCCCAGTGACTCAACGCCTGTAATCCTAGCAGTTTGGGAGGCTGAGGCGGGTGGATCGCTTAAGGCCAGAAGTTAGAGACCAGCATGGCCAACATGGTAAAACCCCATCTCTACTAAAAAAAAAAAAATACAAAAATTAGCTGGGCGTGGTAGCACATGACTGTAATCTCAGCTACTTGGGAGGTTGAGGCTTGAAACTGGGAGACAGAAGCTGCAGTGAGGCAAGATCACACCACTGCACTCCAGCCTGGGCAACAGAGGGAAACTGTGTCTCTAAATAAATAAATACTCATTTTATTTTGGTTTATAACAGTTACTCCATAAAGCTGAAAAATGGGAAAAGCCAAATAAAACTGAATCCTAAAACGAAGGCTAAAAGTTCAGTATTTTTCAAACTACACTTATTATTCCTATTTTTTAAGGCCATTTCCTTAAGAAAAGAATTTCCTCTGATTTTTAGAAAGTGGTTCTATAGTATCTTTGGTTTTTCCTTTAGTATAGTTATATATTTGTATAAACAAACAAACCAGTTCCAGGATATCTTGAATTAATCCACATATTAAGATAAACTCATTTTAATACCAGAATTTATTTACTTATCCCTGCCTTCACACTGGTCCTCAGGACCAAAAAAGATTCCTGATAAATTCAATCAGAGCACTAGTTATTTTTGTTTTCAGACAAGTCTAATTTTAGGACTGGAATTATTGCTCAAATTATTCAAAAGATATACTGAACAATATTTCAAAAATAAAAATTGCCTTCCAATTCTCAGGAAAAAAGATCCCTACATGAATCAACTCAGAGGTCATTATCCTGACCTTCACCATCTGCTCATTTGCAAAAGAAGGAACCCAAGTTTTTCATCTAAGGTAGAACTTTTTTTTAAAACTTTAAATTATCTAAGATAATGTTAAATATTTATGTTTGCTCAAAAAGGGACGAAACACAATAAATAATCACATCACTGTTTCAGCATGTAGCTGAAAAAAAAAACTTTTACAAGGCACGTCCTGATTTATCAATGGTTTATTACAGACAAATTGAGATAAAATACATGCTTTGGTACAGCTATACTGTCCAAATTTCTTAAAGTTGGGTAGTATTTATAAAGTATCTTCTTTACTATATTCTGTGCCACAGCAAATGTCTCTCTAGAGGCCGCAATATAACAAAGTCCTTCTTAACTTTAAACACTAAATTTAAAAGTTAAAGTTACTTAACTTTAAATATTAAAATGTTTTCTTCTTCATAGGAAACAATGAAAAATGGATACCATTGCTCAGTGATATATCTCTAAACAAGCTACTATTATCACAAATAAATTTTAAGAGGTTAGATTACAAAGACATTACAGATGGCTTTTGACACTTACAGGTAAATTGAAATCACTCCCTACAGCCCCTAGGGATAATGAAGTAGCTTCTCAATCACTGAAGTTACTTAGATGGCAGGATTTGTGAATAATCTGTAAACTGGGGAAACCTCAGAACTATGCTGTTTCCTTAGGACAAATAGCATACAGCTTAGAAAAACTTCATTCCCTACTTAATATTGCTTTTTACTAAATTCACGCCTACATTAAATTCTATTATTTCTAAAAGTGTTGCAGGACCAAACTTAAGTGAATGATTTAAATCTAACTAAGGCTTTTTAAAACGTATATATGTCTTTTTAAAATCCGCATCACAAATATCACACAACTGCATTATTCGAAATTTCAATAGCCTGATATTAATGCCTTGGTTAGTGCCTGATATTTTTTTAGATAGCAGAAAATATTACCTTCAAAAGACCCCTTTCCAAATGCTGCTTCTGCTTTTTTGTTTTGTAAATAACAGCTTTGAAATGTATACAAAAATATCTCTAAGTTACTCAAGCCGAGATCCACACTTTGTGGAGCAATATTACTTAATGGGAGTCCCAGAACCAGCTAAAATTGTAGAGAAAATGTTGCTTATGTATACGTGTCTTTTTTTTCTACACAAAAAGTCCATATAACTCAGTTTCTCAAAAGGCCTCAAAACTCAAGATTAAAAGTGCCTGAAAGAACTATCATCGTTAAAGAACATATCACAGGCAATCCAAGACTTATTTTTCATTCCAAGTTGGGGAGGATTTATCCTAATTTTGTGGCTCCTACACAACTTCTGAGCGACGAAAGCATGAAATGGCTGTCCGATACAAACAGCCCCCTTCAGACACCCAACGCAGCAAACACCTAATTTTCCTCGAAGGGGCCACGGGAAAGCCAAACGGATTCGTAGCACCGTTGCTCAACGGTCCATTGGCTCCCGCAGGATGCGCCCTCCCCTTACGCCTGAGGGGCTGCGGGTCGGCGACCAGGTTCCTCCAAGGGGCTGAAGTTCCCCTGGGGGTGGCTGACAGCAGCGGCATCTTCGGCAGCATCCTCCTCCTCCCCAAAACGCGCCCTAAAAGTAGCAGTTACGGGCGTGGGCACAGCCAACCCCCGCCCGCGCGTCAAAGAAGTCGGGCGGGCGAGGAACTGCGGCCCCTCCGAGGCGTGCCGGAGCCGCCGCTGCAGCACGGTCGCAGCGACCTTCCCGCCCGGGTTCCCGCGAGCGACGGGCAAGCCCCGTTAACACGCCGGTCACACACCCCACGAGCGAAAGGAAGAGGCCGGGCAGACAATAAAGCCCAACCCGAGGGGGCCCAAGCGAGCTGGAAGTTGCGGACGCTGGGACTGCAGCCCAAGGAGGGGCGGCGGGGACGACGGGATGCGGGGCGGACGCGCCTGGAACGCGGCAAGCCAGATGTCTGCCCGGGTGCCGGCAGCTGGGAGGACACCGAGCGCGCTGCGGCGTCGGGGAGGCGACCGGGGGAAGACAGGCCCGAGGCGGGAGGGGAGCGGCGGCGAGGTCCGGAGGCGCCGCGGTCGGCCGCGACCCCCACCCCAGCCGGGCGCTGTCCCATCCCTTACCGGCAGGGAAGCTGCGTGCTCCGCCGGGGCTGTCTCGGCCGCAGGCCTCCGGGGCCAGGAAGCGCCCCCACATCGCGGGCGAGAGGGCTGGGGACACCCGACTCCTCACGTCCGTCCTCCTGCTTCTCCGGCGGCGGAAACTTGCCCGGAGCGTGGGCCTCGGCGGCACGGACTGGAGGAACGGCGGGTGGCTGCTTAACGGCTGCTCAGCGACGGGCGGGGAGCGTCGGGGCCAGATTCTCCGCAGTGGCGGCGGCTGCCATGGCCAAGCCGGCTGGGCTGAGGCCCCCGGGAATCAGCGACTCGGCGGTGACGGCTGCTAGATCCCGGCTGAGCCCAGGCTCAAAGGCTCCAGGCGAAGTTGCAGCTGCGGGTTATCTCCGCCCCCTCCGCCTGCTGAGCCAGAGCCCGGGCTGGGGCTGCGAGGGGGCGGGGCCTCAGGCGCTGACTTCAGGCGTGCGCGGCGCCGCGCGGGGCGGGGATTGCGGCGGACGGGCGGGTGAGCTCCCCAGACCCCGGTTCGACTCCTCGGCTGCAGCTGGGCTGTCCCGCCATCCCGTCCTCCCGCCGCATCCCTGTCTCCATCCTCCCGCCCTGCGAGTTGAGAAGAGGACCGCAACTTGTCCTGTGTTGCGATACTCGACCCCTCCCTTGGATAATCCCTCACGCCCTCCCTCCGGGCAGCTCTGTGAAGACACGTGGAAGACCTGCCCCTCGCGTCACCACCGCTCGAGATGAAGAGGCCACGCCAGGCGCGGCTGAGGGGGCTTCCAGCCTCCCTTGGAATTAGGACTGGGATTTAAATCCTCATCTGTACTCCTTCGTTTGTACTTCACTTTAGGGAGTAGAAAAGGGATGGTTTTCCTTTACTGATTTAATGTGGCGGCAACACAGGCACCAGAATATCTATAAGACAGGGATGTGCACCGGAAAAATCTCGGGGGTAATTATGACCCGAGGCGGAGAGGGGCTGTCATTATAATCTAGTGGCACAACGGTTCTCATAAGCAACCAGAAAGGAGTAAAAATGGCACCAAAATCTGTAAAGGGAGCCTCGTCCTCCTTGCCCCCTACTCCTTCACGTCTTCCTGTTAGTTTCCACCCTTTACCTGAACCCTCAGTGCAGGAGCAGACGTCCTGAGGAAGGGCGAAAAGGGGCAGTATCCTTTTATTTTTAATCTTACTTCTCATTGGCAATATGATGATGCTTCCAACGTTTAGTTACAAAATAGGCAGTGTAATAAATACTGGGCCAGCACTGTGGTGGGAGGCGGGCTCTGCACTAGGCAGATCACTTAGAGGTAAGCCAGAACGCAGGTCACTGAACTAGAGAAGCTTTGAGTTCCATGATGCTTTTTCCTGTCTGGAATCTTGTTAACAAAGCCCTCATATTTGCATTTTTCCCTTAAAGACACTGTAATTGGGAAATACTCTTTAAAATGATTGGAGGTTAACTTACATTTAGGTGTGTATTCTATCACTTATCACATCTGTGTTGTAATTTATCTAATTGCAATTTTACATTTAGTCTCCCTGTGGTAGTCTTCCAATTATTTCTCCAAATCATGTATTGTTGGTCAAGGGTCAGCTGTTTCTGATGATAAAAAGAAACAGGAAACATGAAAGACTAATGTGATTGGTTCTTTTTTCTGATTTAAATGTGCATTCGCTCATTTTATCTAGCACTTGAGGAAGACAGACGTCTTTTTAAGTCTCAAAAAGAAAATTATCAGAAGCTATAGCACTATGTAAAGTATACACTTTTTTTCATGCTTTGTAGTTACCACAGTCTCAGGGAACAGAACGTTTGAAATTCATTTGTGATGCTGTTCTAAGAAATGTATAAAACATTACAGAAATATCTTGACCTTTGCAAGTTTAAAATACACTTATTATTTCAAAACTGACAATTTCTACTTCATTCTAAACAATGTTAAAAGAAAATCGTTTACTCGGGTTTTCTACATCTTTTTATCAATGTATGGACATGCTACTCCACACACACACAAAAGTACATGTGAAGCTGAAAGTATCTAAAATATATCAATATCTATTACAGAGTAAAAGCAAACAGTAAAAACATGTTGCTTTTTTTGGTGCACTTGGCACCAAAGATAAAAATTTTTGTGTCCTTAGTAATTAAACTTGGGAGGATAGAGGGCTAATGCAATTAAAATTAATTGAAATACTAAGTGAGAATATTATGTAGATAAAGTATCTATTTCTGTTAATCATATGAATTCTGAGTATATACTGAACTAATGCTTCCCCACACATCCATGATACATGAATGTCATATATATGGGAGGATACAGCCATGGTTTTCAGAATGATTAAAATGTATCGTAACACAAGTTGGAGAACCTAATGACTACCTAACCATTACTAAACCCCATGTGGTAAACTGGCGTATTTTTGTTTTGTTGTGACAGTATGTTAGGACTACAAGGAGAATCTTACAAGCAAAGACAGTTATCACTGAACCTTGGTAAGCCTCAATCTTGGCAGTTGTTCTACTGTGCAAAGACAAAAGAAGTAAGTAATGAAAATAGTGACTCTGTGTGTGTGTGTAAGTATGGTTGGTCAGACGAAAAATGGGATATTTAATGTTTTGGGACGGGACTTTTTAAGAATATAAACTAGATCACAAAAGAAGAAAATAGTACTAAAAATGCAATATTTAATATCAACTATATTAAACTCTTTGTTTAAAATGCTTCATTTAAAAAAAAAGACATTTAAAAGTGAGAAATAAATGTTGCATTTATAACTCTTAAATTTGTATATAAATCTTTGCAGTGATTAAATTGAGCTATCTTACATGTGTTTTTCTGACTCAAACTTATCAGATTGTGCAAACATCAACTACAGAACTGAAGAGGGATATAACAATGGATAAAAGTGATATTTTAAAATTAGAAGAGCCAGGTACAGTCACTCATGCCTGTAATCCAGTGCTTTGGGAGACCAAGGCAGGAAAATCACTTAAGCCTAGGAGTTGGAGGCTACAGTGAGCTATGAATTGTGCCACCAAACTCAAGCTTAGGCAGCAGAGCGAAACCCTGTCTCTAATAAATAAATAAAATTAGAAGGAAACCCCATGCATAATCTGGGGAAAGCTCAAAAGAGCTTAATGTTTACAAAAATATAAAACAGCAAAAGAACCAAAAATATGCAGGAAAAATAAACCAACCAATTAGAGCTGAAATAATTCCTAAAGAACTATTGCTACTACATAGAAAAAGATTTATGAATGAATTCTAAAAGATTCCAAAGAGTGGACAAGTCTTATATATCAAGTGTGTATCAAGGAGCATGCTATACAACCTCTTCCAGATCACAAAGACGACAAGTTATCCAATTTTTTATGGATTGTTGTAATCCCTAAAATCATTTATAATAAAGAAAAAATAAAAACACTCTTTTGAAGATGGACTTGAATATCATAATTGGATCCCTGGCAGGTAGAATTCAAATAGATGAAGGGAAAACAAATAGGTTACTTAACCTGTCTGTGCCCCAGTTCCCTCACCTGCAAATTGTGGATTATAATTATAACTTCCTCACAGGATTGCTGTATGGATTAAACATGTTAATCTTTGTAAAATACTTAGAACACTGTATGTGTACATCCTATACTGGTGATACAGACAAACATATAATTTAGAAATGTAACTGTGTTAACAGCTCACCAAGAAAAAATAACATTCATTGGTATAGGCCAGGTCAGTTGTAGATGATAATTTCTATACATGTATCAGAATAAAGTAGTGACCGATGCCTTTTCCTGACCCTTTGGGTTACTAATTAGTCCAGTAATTATGGTGAAATAGTATAGTCTTGACAAATATTTAACACATTTTTGGGAGCCAAGTTCATAGAAACCTTCATTCTAGGCTGTGATTTCCTGCCCAGTGCTACCAAAATAAAGGAAGAAAAATTAGGTGGTATAACAAGGCCAAGAGGACAAGGACACCTCATCTCAAGTCCCCGATTCCTGGGAGGTACAGAAAATGAATCTCACCTGTTCCTTTGGCCCCAGAGTTGCGCTGCAATAACCAATAAGAGAGTAGGTATGATATGGACCACTGAAGCGGTCCTTAGGATAGGAAGTGGGTGTGGGAGGGACCGAATTTAGCCGACAGATAAAGTCTTCCAAACGACCATCAATGTTTTCAGGAACTGCTTAGGACTGACATCTTTATCAATGGAACTTATTGTGGTCACCACCTGGTCATCCTGAGCCTATGAAAAGGAACAAGATCATTTACAGTGAAATGGGACAGCAACCTGGACAGTGCACAACGAGACAAATTCTTTCCTGCCTGCCTGCCTGCCTTTTCAGACACTGGAACAGTAAGTAGAAGGACAGAAGTGTGGATTCAAGAAAGCAGATCATGCCTTCACACACAAACCCACACACACAGCCTCCTATCTGACCTGGCCTGGTGGAGAAGAGGACTGTTGAAAGCTGAAAATGTCTAAAATGTTAGGGAATTGGATTGAGATGTACTCAGTGGAAAAGAGGGTTTTCAAAAGTGTACAGTTGGCAGTGTTATTGGGGGAGAAAAAACTTTGAGTATGTGCTTCAAATGATTTGAGACTTCTTACTAAATCAGTTACATATTTTATGTTGAATAGTTAGTAATACCTCCATTTCACAGATAGAGAAAAAAGACCAAAGAAAAATTACTTAAGGTCACACAGGTAGTAAAGAGCTAGAATTCAAATCTGATCCATGTGACTCTAATGCCCGTGCCTTTTGCACCATGCTCTTTAACATGCTGTGAAATAAAAATTATAAAATTTTTTTAAAAAGACGCCATATGAGAAGGAAATACCGAACTATAGGATTTCTGTATAGTGTTTAGGGTTCAGCTAAGACTGGAAACCATGTGACATTATCTGTGGTGATATATGGTTTTCTTTAGCTGCAGCCAGCAATTTGAGTGCAGGAAGAATGAAGGCAGATAAACAGGGTTTTGTAGTGTGGGCACTCTAACAGGAAAAAGGGGCAAAGGATGTAAGGATATTGGCAGAAGAATAGAAGAAGTGATGGGAAACTGGGTGTAGCCTATCTGGAAGAAGGAGTTAAGACAAAGCTGAAATGTTGAGAGAAGGTCGTGGGAATAAAGGAGTGGAAGTTTTACAACTGAAAGGCAAATATAATGAGAGTAAGGGAATAAAAGTTGGAAAGGTAAGATGTTAGGGTGGGAGAGGAGGATGCTAAAGTTTAAGATTTCAGAGATGAAGCAGTAGAGGAATTAATCTGTGAGATGAACTTGGAGGTTTGTCTCTCTGATCTCCCTTCAAGAAAGACCCTGATATTCAGCCATGAGGAGTATAGTTGGCTGATAGCCTCCGACTTTTACCACCTGCCAAACCTGCCTCAGCCTTTTTATTTAATTTTATTTTTTATTGATACATAATAGATGTACATATTTTGGGCATATATATGATAATTTAATACATTCATATAATTTGTAAAGATCAAATCAGTATTATTGGAATATCCATCTTAAAAATTGTCTTTATGCTAGAAACATTCAAATTATTTTCTTCTAGCTATTTTAAAATATAACAATAGATTATTGTAAACAATAGTCGCCCTACTCCACACTTTTCCCAGATATCCCCAGCCAGTGACAAAGCTCAGCAGAAATACTGGAGCCTGG